ATGGAATCTATATATAGTCGTTGAAAATTTGTCTCTCAAAAGACAACCTGTGGAAGAGACACAACTATTGAAATTTATTTCTGTACATGAATAGATAATCTATTTGAAAATAATAATGTCAAAAATCACAATCTTACATATGGAAATAACCTTTTAAGCCAAATAATTTTCTAAAATATTCCATAATATTCTACATAATTTTTCAACAATTCACATATTTAAGGGACTTAAATTTGATTTAATTTTTTATTCACCAAATAATAATTTCAACGTAAATAATTAAGAATTTGTCAAAACCAATTTCATATACAAATTTCCAACAGATGTTCTGTATTATTGTGTGTCAATATTTAAATTAAAAGTTAAAATGTCTGCCTAAAGAGCAACAAAAACCGTTTAAAGGATGACAACAACTTGGATCGGTCATCAATTTAAATTCCGAGTATTCTTCTCATTTATTCTACCTTATTACAAGTTCACCCCAAATTCCTCTTCTCGTTCTGGGCTCATGGCATATCAAAGTCACAAGTTGTGAGTCTTTGATCTCGATCTTTCACAACAGAATTGCCTCCAACTCCAAAACACTAGGATGCTCCAATCATTAATCTCAAAGTCACTTCACGCTCGAAACTTCTTCTGTTTTTCGGGTGTCTTGTCCTTGCGCGCTAGAGATGACAACATAGTCGTACGGTCCTTCTCGTCCCACCATTGCGTCGGTGATTTTGGGGGGGGGGGGGGAATAAAAATATGTATATATTTACTAATATTTTTAATTTGATTTTTAAAATATAATTAAAAAATAAATAATAAATTTTGAGAAGATTTAGTTCCCCATCCCAGTCTTGAATCCTTGAATAGAGATAGCAAAAAAATTCGACAAACTCGATACCCATGGATCCCGCCTCGAACGAGGTGGGAATTGTTGTGAAAAAGATGACAATAAAGGTAAAAGATAAACACACGAATTTGCAGAGGAATTTTTATTTCTTGAGGAATCACAATACAGTAGTTGGGCGACTACTAATTTCGCTTATAAGCCATA